TATCCTCTGTTTCCGGCGCTGGTGGTGGAGGGGCAGAGACGGACAGCTTCTTCGCAGGCCCAGCCGGCGCCTTTGCTGTTGCACCTGCCGTCCGTGTTCCTGCCGTGGGTCGAGTAGCGGTCGGGCGTGTTGACGCAGCAAGAGAGGCGCGTGGAGCAGTGCGGGTCGTCGCTGCCTCTGCAGGTGGGCGTGAGGTTACAGGACGCTTGGCGGCAGTCGTTGTCGTAGAGGAAGGCGCAATGGATTGTCTCGAAGTCGGTTTGGCAGGAGATGGCCTCGAAGTAGCTGACGACGCGACGGGCGTCCGGCGCACTGCTGTCCTCTTCTTCTCGTCGCCCGATGTGACGGACGACAGGTCTGGCTCGGCATCGGATGCGGTTCTGGACGACGAGATGGTCCTGCGCGCCGTCGTCCCTGCTGCCGGGCGCGTAGGCGGCTTGTTCAGGCTGGATCCAACCGTGCTGGTGCGCGATGTTGCCGTGGTGGGGGCTTTGGACGCGCTCGTAGCAGTTCGCGCCGTGCTTGTTGATGCCGCTGCAGGACGACGGGCGCTCGCAGCGGTGCCGCTGGCTGCAGTCGGCCGGCGTGGAGGGACGCCATCTTTTGAGGCTGGGGAAGGCGCATTGGCAGCCATCTTGCGGCGGACTGAGGATGTGGGCGTTGAGGGGGCGGGCAGTTTTTTGGGCTGCGGACTCCCGACTGGCACGCTTTCCGAGGGAGCTCTGTCGCGAGCCGGGGGTGGTGTCGCCATTCGGTGCCGGATTCAGGGGCCTCTGCTGATCAATGCACTCCCAATCGCGCTCTCAGCGGGGTGTGCAGCAAGTACCGGCCTAATGGGATGGATCTAAACAGCAGAGGATGGTATCGCGTAGCTGTCGCTTCTCAGTCGCGACTTCCTCACGCGCTGGGCTAGCTCATGTATGTGGGGAGTGCAAAAGCAGGGTCTCATAGCGCTCCAATCCACGCCCAGACGGCCAGCACAACACACCGAGCATCACCACCTAGTTTCACTCTCGCCGCCCATCATCACACTCCTGGCCACTGAAGAGAGCACACGTCAAATCTGTCACCTTGCATTGACTGTATCGACTTTCGGCGTCAACGTAGGCCGAACCTGTGGCACCAATGCACCCCAGGCTCCCACCATGGTGGCTTGCAGCTTCCCCACTTCGCATGCTATAGCCAGGGTCCGATTCCAATATTCGGTCACGATCCCAAAAACCGAACGGCCTCTGGAACTGGAAGATGGCATGCCACGCGTTCGGTGTCCAAGACAGTCGAATCAAAGGAGAGGCGCGTAAGTTGCTGCAGTGTCAGAAAAGTCTCAAACGCTTGATCATCGTCCTTCTGGATCAGGTCGTTTCCAGAGAGACTATCCCATGAAGGACTGTTTATCGTGCCTTCGCCTTTGACGACGCCTGCGCGCCCTACTGTCTCTACTAATCCCAGACGACTAGACTCACGTACGAGCAGTACCGCATCCGTTTTGAAGAACTGAACCATAATATCGCCCGATCGCGTCGTCTTGGGCCCAATACCAACGAACTGAACGCCTTCCGGGTCCTTGGCCAAGAATAATCTCGAATGTAGATAGCCAAACCTTGTTGTATCGTCGAACGGAACAAAATTACGGACTTTGAAGCCGACCCGGCCTTTCAGTACCGCCGTCAAGTATCGTAGGCCCATGATAAGTCGATCAACGTCTCCCTTTTCTCTCAGAGCGTCGCGGCCTGACTCCCTGAACCAGGACTTCGCTGTCCCTGGGTCCGTGGAGAACGACAAATAGGTCGGGCCTACTTGATACACCACTCCTGTCATTCTGCCCGAAACGCTCACGGATCGGGTAGTCGACTCCACTGGTGACCAGTCCTGACTATTTTCTGGCATGGAACAGTGCCAAAACCACTCCAAGTCTAAAGGACGGCCCTTAGTCGAGTCTCTTAGACTTATGAGCAATGAGTGAACGTAGCCAATGATACTTGCCACAACTTCGTCCTCCCACGAACACCACGGACTACAGCTGGTCCTGCGTGTGTATTCCCACCTCCCAGGATCCTGTCTGGGAAGGCGCCATCCATGGAATTTGGCCATCGAGAATGCTTTTCGCGATATACTGGCTCGTAGTAGGCTCGCAAAATAGACCATGTCCACCGCATGTTTCTGTTGCGTCAAAGTCCTTGCCTCTAGTGGCACTGAGGGCGCTCGAAGATGTATCAATTCTGAGTACATATCCAATCGAGACTGTGAGTAGTTCGCTGCAACAACATCGGTAATGTGGTCCTCTGCAATCCCAATCAAAGCATACACCTTGTCGGCCCAGTTTGAGCAGAAACAATCGTTGAAGCTTTCCAAAAGCGAAGTGAAGGTGTTCTGGTTCGTGTCTACGGGATGGCGAATATCCTCAATGCGCAGGACTCTTCGAGTAATATGCGTAGGAACCCAGGCCTCATTTTGCGCTTCGAAGAGCCTGACCAGATGGATCCAAATGTCCCAAGGTATAGCCTCACTCTTGGACTTGGACCAGCTAGGTACATGGTACAGTACGTATATGTCACTTGCCATGCGGAGCTCTTGGATGATCCAGCAACGTTTCCAATACTCCGCATTCATCAAGGAAAATATCCATGTTGCAGTTCCCGGCCATTCTTCCTCGGCTTCACGAAGTGTTTTCGTCACATCCCACTTCCAGGATTTCGCCAGCCCTGTCCATCGTGGTTCGAAATGATCGCCCAGCCAAAGATATACTGCCTGTGCTCGTTCGTATATCGATGGCATGATAGCGATTTGTGTAGCCTTTTCGTCCGGGTCATCTTGGTTAATGCAAATTGCATCCACCCAAACAAGTATGTCTCCATACAACATCCGATCGCGAATGCTGCGAAGAGCACCCCATAGATGGTCGCTGACAACATGGCGTTTTCCGTTAATGAGTATCGATTGCTTGTGTGGTCCAGCATCCCACGTGTATGACAGAGCAGTATACGACGGCCACGACGAGAATGATGCTTCCTCCAAAGTGAGCTCTATCCTGCCTGTGGCGTGGCGCATTCGCAGAAGACGAATAGATGACTTCGGATCGGCTAATCTAGCATAATCCCTCGGTGACCATGGATACTCATACCACGTAGCTGATGGCAGCGTACCTGTTGGCAGCAACTGAAGATCAAAGAGCATGCAGGTGATTCCCCCAATATACATCACCAAGGCTGCCCTCACAGAGAACCCCTCCAGGGTCAAGCGCGAAAGACAGAGAAGCATACAGGTGATTATAGTGGCCAAAAACAAGCTCATGGGCCACATGGTGCACGTAGTACGGTGGAAGGCTGAACGTGCGAGTCGGATGATCGCGATTGCGACACACAAAGACGCCAGCGTGCGGACAGTGAGGAGGCAGAGAGCGGGCTAACGCGACCGCGAGACAACTGATCAAATTAAACGATAGTTGCGACGTCCGAAGGAAGTGTTGCGCGAGGGCAAAGTTCAGCTGCGATGATGCGCCTGCTTACCTAGGTATGCATACGCTGACTTTGCATAGGACCAATAGTTGGGAACAACACATCAGCACTGCGCTTCCAATCACCGTGACCAGGCAGTTGAGGCGTTCAGCCTCGTAGGCTCCAGCACGCGGTCCCGGTTTTGCCGTGGCGAATGTCAAAACGCGTTCTGGAACGCGTCCCGCGACGTGTGACGTCAGACGGTCATTAGGCGTGCAATCAGCGTGCGCGTTGCCATCTTAAAAGCCAAGAAGCAGCCCTTGGGAAGCTATAACGACCAACAACTTGCTTGTATCGAAGCCATGCGATACGCACTTTCCGAGGCATCCTGATCACCTCAAGGGCTACCTACGTACCTAAGCATGGTCTACGACCCAAACTTGTACCGCGACAAAGAGCGCTTTCTTGGCATTCTCACCGCCGATCTTACACCTACCCAACTCGATGCAGTCCAGGAACTCTTCGGCATTGGCGCCAACATGTGCTCTCCATATCCTGCAGAGCAGCTGTTCATCGAAGACAAACGCGACTTGTCAAACCTCTCCCATGCAGACTTGAGGAGAGCCTTCCTTGATGCAGATCCCTTACTTGTTATCGACGCTCAAACGCCCACCGACGGCGGTGTCTGGTATCTTGACCATTTTGCTGAGCAATTCGACGTCGATAAGGGATTAGCCGAGAACTTGGACACTCTCTACAAGATTCGCATGGATATTCGCGACGTTGTCATCACGCATGTAAACTACAATATCGCCAATACCGATATCCAAAATGGTCTAGAAACGGTCGGTGTACCTTATCCCATACCGGAGAACTTTGTTCAGGACAAAATATTCTGCATGGGTTTCGATCATATCAAGTACCGTTACGCAAACCCGACTTGGGTCATAGCTATACCGGACGAGCTAGAAGAGAGTACAAATGGCAGAGACTTGAACAACTTCATCCCACGGCCGGAAATTGTCTATCGCATCAAAGAAGATGTCGCGAGAGAGACGGGCTTGAAGAGCGCATGGATGATCGCGAGCGATAGATCCGGGGAAGTGAAATTACCTGATGGCACCAAAATAGCATTGCCCCCAGGGAGCAAGGTCGTGCAGTCTACATACGATCCCGATGTAGCGGTCCCAGTGTACAAGAAACCGGAGGGAAGCTTATAGATACAGTTCAACAAAAATCGGTGTTCCTCATCAGTCATGCCGCGAAAGACACCCTTGCTGTGAACGGATCTGAACATGTGCCTATTGCACATCATTTGAGAAATCGGTATTACTAGATGTCTAACGTATCGATATAGGGCCTAAATGCGATGGGGTGAGTATTGTGGTTGCGCAAAAGTTGCCGCGCAAGTACCCGTCAAGATGTGGTATTCAGACTAACCCACAACGTACTAGACTGAAGGGTATCCACTCACCGCCGTTGAATTTAAGCCCCGCACGATCCCGTTCTCATGCCCGAACACGACCTCTACACATCGTCTCGAAAAGTTCATCGAAATCACCAGACATGACCTCTTTCCGCTTCCTCGATCTCCCCCGCGAGATTCGCGACAAAATATATGGCATCCTGCTGTGCACATTCCCGCGTCCCGAATCTATCACGCAGGGGACGATGCTTTCGAAGAAAGACTTCAGCCCAAGTATCCTACGCGCCAACAAACAGATCTACGCCGAAAGCTATGATTCCATGATAAAGTGCAATCGGTTCATGCTCGTGTCTTCGACTGGCGGTCTACATCTCGCCAACATGCTCAAGGGCAACTGCGTTCCCACGCTGGCTTTCGACCTGGACGACGGCACTAAGAGGAAGAAGAAAAGCGGAAAAGAGGTCATTAAGCCCATAACACAAATTTTCCGGGGCTACGCTTTGCATATCACCATAGGGAACAGCAATGTCCGGTGAGGATGGAGCTCCCACATTCAGAGCTCTTGCAACCTTGCAACGTCATCATGCTCTTCCGGGATGTCGAACTACTATGCGAGGCCATCAAGGGAGGCGATGGCCGACTGGAGAACTACAAGAATCTTGTGACCCTAGACATTGAACTTGCACCGGTGGTCAAGCGTCCGCCGTTCCAACTAAAAAGCCCAACGGCTTACTTCTCTTCTACCAAGACCCAGGAAGAACTACTGGCACCTTTTCGCAAAAGCTTCCGCGACATGCCTCGAGTCACTATTGGTGGTACCGTCGATGAATCCCTTGCTCAGTCAGCCAGACAAGATTTCGCACGGAGCAAATTTGAAGATGTTGACAGCATCATCGCCTTATGGACCGCGAAAAAGGATGAGGGTACTCAGCTATTCAAGCGAGGCGACGATGGCTGTCTGAAACCATGGTCAAAAGTCAGAGATGAGATCAATGAAGCCTTCAAGTCAGAGGCATGGGCACGCCTAGTTAAACAAGGAGGCCCCTCATTCGTGGCGAGAGTCGCGGAGCTCTTCTACACCACAAACCTCAACATCGTAGCCATCGGACTGAAGTGGCTGGAAGAAGGAGATCGCGACGTCTTGCCCGGCGTCCGTAACGCCTACGGTCACTTGAAGAGTAGCACCAATGAAGGCTATTGGGGCATCGCGCACTCGTGGAAACCCTCCCCGGCGCAGGAGACGAAGAGCTTGTTTCGATATGCGAAAATCTTAAGACTCTCAGGAGAGTCAGAGCTGGTTCCATTTGCGTCCGCGACTATCGACATGCTAGCTTATCATAATCCTGATGACGCTACAATTCTTGAGGAGAAGCGTAAGATCAAGGCTTGGAAGCGCAGCGTGGGGCCTATTGACGACAGCGCGTTCAACGCTATGATGAGCGGTCTGAACACGTAATGCCGACATGAGTAGTGCGTGTCCTTTAGGCGCGTGACTGATTTAGTATAGATGTTCGATGCTGAAGTTAGGAAAAGCACCTGGGCAGCGCGCGCGGAGTCCCGCAGGTTGGATTTGTAGTATGTTTGTTCACACCTGTTGTTTGCTTCTAGCGAGTAGACACCACAAAACACATTGTCTATTAGAGTATTAGCTACTAATTAAGAAACTCTAGAAGTAAGATATCTATATATTAGAAAGAAATTTTATTTTAGAGTTCTACTATAAGAGCTACAATTAAATAGGTATACAATAGATTATAAGCTATTAAGTAGAATATAAAGATATAGAGACCTTTATATTCTAGAGCTAGCGCTAGACTAATTTAATTAGAATAGACTAGTTACGTAATAACGTAATAGAGTAGTTATAGCTAGAACTATTATATCTAGTACTTATAGCTTTAATAGATAGTTTTATAAAGATAAAATATTTACTTCTAAATAATTAATATATAACTAAAAATATTATTAAGTTCTATAGAAAAGAACTTTGTACTATAGCTTTAAAACTTAGAACTTTTATTTTTAATATAGCTAAAGCTTATATACTATCTAGACTAGCTATAAGATTAAAAGTAACTTTAATAAAAGTTTAGCTACTTTATAGTTTAAGCTACTTTATAATTCTAGCTAGTAGTAATAAGTTAAAATATTAAAGAAATAAATATAAAGCTATACTAGTCTTTAGACTAGTTCTAACTATTACTAAGATCTATCTAGTAAATAATAGTACTTTCTTATAAAGCTATCTTTAAATAGTTTATTAATTATTCTACTTTTATTTTAAATTTCTAAATTTCTTAACTAGCTTATAGTAGTAAGATAAAATTTAGAAATAGCTCTATATATAGTACTAAAACTCTTTATAAAACTAGCGTAATAAGCTCTTAGAGCTTACTATACTAGCTAGCTAGTATAGAGCTTTATTAGCTATATATTTACTTATATAAGGTAATATATTATATCTTATAATATATATATATTGTTTTACTTTATTTAAAATTTTAGCTACTATATAGTAACTTAATATAATATATTATAACTATCTACTATAGTAAACCTATGTAAAATGCTAACCTTTTAAACTATCTAAAGTTTTAATATTTTTTACTTTTTAGCTACTATACTAGAGCTCTTAATCTAGACTCTCTAGTCTAAGTTAGAATAATCTACCTACGTACGCCTACTTAACTTTTAAGCTTTTAAGCCTACTAAGGCTATATAGCGCTTTAGGCGCCTACTACCTTAGATAGTACTATCTAGCTAGTACCTTTATAATATATCTATACCTATATCTATCTACTATATACTTATTTAACGCACTACTTTACGTACTATATAATTACTATATACTATACGTATTATATTATATTATATATATATACTAATATACTAAATATAGCTTAATATTTAGCTACTCTTATAGAAATACTATTACTATAACTACCTACTACTCTACTATATAAATACCTATACTAATATAAAACTTAACTAATATATTATACTACGCGCTTTATAGACGCTACTTAAGTAAGAAGAAAATACTTCTTTAGACTATTTTATACCTTTAGCTTCTCTATAAAGTATAAGTTAGAACCTTCTATATTAGTCTTACTAATTCTCTTACTCTTACTAACCTTTTTAATTAATGCCTTTAGTAGATTATTCTACTACTTTATAAACGTGTTCTTAATATCTTTTAGCTTACTTATTTACTATTACTCTATACTACGTAGCTATATATATACTTACTATACTTATATACTTATACTTACTATATACTTACTTAGTTCTATATATTCTTAAAGAACTATCTAAATAGACTAAGCTATTTCTTAGAAATTAGCTTTAACGCGCTAGCTACCTACTTCTTATTATTCTTATTAATCTTAGCTATCTTTCTATACGTAACTATCTCTACGCTTAGAAACGTATAGTCTACTTTATTTATAATCTATTTTAGGTAGCTTTCTAGATCTATATATATATATATAATTAGCTACTATATATATATATATATATATATATATACTATAGAGTTACTTACTAGTTGTAACTAGTTCTAAGATAGAAGAAAGCATTATCTTATAACTCTTTGATAGTTTATTTAATACTTTAAAATACTTTCTTACTTTAGAGTTCTTATGCGCTATACGCTTCTTTACTACTACTCTCTTATACCTAATCTTTTGCACCTAGACTACTTTCTTAGCTTTTTTTCTCTTTTTAGCTCTTTAGCTACTACGCTTTAATATATAACTTAAATTAATTTAGAATAACTACTATATTCTAGCTACTTAACTTATACTTACTATAATTACACTTTCTATTCTATTTATAGCTGCTATAATCGCGCTTACTACCTCTTTTTCTTAGCTACTATAGTAACCTAATATATTATATTATATTATATATACTTACTATAGTAACCTACTATATTATATTATATATTCTTACTATAGTAACCAAATATATTATATTATATATACTTACTATAGTAAGTAATTATATTATCTTAAATAGCTAATAAGATCTTAAAAGTCTAACTAATCAGCTCTTATACTTTCATTCTATTTTAATTAGCTAAAAGACTTTTCTTTATAGAGAATAGTAGGTATTATATTAGCTTACTACTAGAAAGCTCTAAGAAACTAACTTTTATAAAAAAGTTAGTAGCTATACTAAAAAAAAGTTTAGTCTTTATTAAGTAATTTTAAGCTTAACTTTTATTCTCTATACTTTAATATTAATAGCTTTTACTTCTAAACTAGTTTTTTATAAATCTAGTACTTCATAAGTTTAATATAATATAATTTTAAATTCATAATCTTATTAGTACTAAGCTAGTTTTTTAAAACATTATATTTAAAAGATTTCTAATAAGAAGTAATTTTAAAGTATACTTTTCAAGATATTTATTTTTTATTAATTATTATTATTAAGTCTCTATTAAATATAAATCTAGCTTTTACGTAGTAATAATTATAGCTTAAGAGAGCTAATTCTAGAAAGATTAAAGCTTTTACTAGTACTTGAAGAAATATATAACTAGAGGTATTACTTATCTTTAAAAATATAATATTAAGTTAGCTAAAGCTTAAAGCTTTAGTACTACTATAGTTAAAGTACTTAAACCTTTTAAATCTTTTTAACTAGCTATATAAAGTAACTCTTCGAGAATAAAATACTTTATACTAAATTACAATACTAAATACTTTATAGAAGAACTTTATAAGAGAATTATTATTTTATTATTTGTACTTATTAGCTTATAACTACTAAAGTTTAATAATTTAAAGCTTTATAGTTAGAACGCGTATACTAAAACTTTAGTAAAAGCGCGCTTTTTCTATTCTTTATATTTTTTTAATTATAAGAACTCTAAAGATAGATTATAGATAAGTAGATTAAATCTAATACTAAAAGCTATACTCGTATTCTAAATAATCTATAGATTTTATAGACACTAATAAGTCTATATATAAAGCTAATCTCTTACTAGTTACTTTACTTTACTTTTTCTTTAATACTTTACTAAGTTACTTTATTATTAATTAATTACTTTTTTTTATAAACTCCTCTCTAATACTTTTATTAATAGTTCTTAGTCTATCTAGATAGCTACTGTAAAAATTATATTAGTAGCTATTACAAAGAAAGTTATCTATTTAATATTTAAAGTCTACTTAACTAATAATTTCTTTAAGCTCTAGTTATAGCTTCTATATTTTCTAATATAGCTCTTATAAATAATTCTATTAATAATTTCATTAGTATTACAGAATAAGTATATTTACTTATAATAAAGTTTAATATTACTTTTTCTATAAACTTTAGTTTTAAGACGCTAGTTATAGATATATTAAGTTTCTTAGTAGAACTAGAAAGATAATTAACTTTAACTAGGCTGATATTCATTATATTACCACTATTCCAGCTACTAAGTTATTATTAATATTAGATATAATTTATGTCTATACTAACTTCTTTATATATAAGGTAAGATAGACTATAAGTCTAGACTTAGCTTTATCTAATTTTGTAAATAAAGCTATAAATCTATCGTATAAAGCCTTGAATTCAATAATTAAAAGAATTAACAGAAAATATAATATTAAAGAAAAAGTATTTAGAAATAGTCTCTTCACTAGTAAAATAGTTAAGTAAATATTCGCTTTATTTAATATTTTTTATAGTAGAAACGCTTTTTAAAAGATAAGCTCTTAGTAGCTATTATATTAATATTCTTAGAGAATAAAGATTAAGATATAGTTATAGTTAATAAAGAATAGATATAGTAAGTTAAGTTAGTAGTATACCTATTACTATATAGTATAGTATTTCTAAGTATTTCTAGTTATAATATATAAAGATTTATATAAGTAAGTATATAGTAAGTCTATATAGAGATAAGTATATTACTATAGTAATATATACTATAATAATAGAAGAATTATTATACTAGTTCTAAAAAGAACTAGCTAGAAGTCTTTTTATATCTTTTAATATCTTTTTCTATTATTTTACTATATAGATAACACTAGATTAGACTTATAGGTACTAATTTAAAAGTTACTTAGATTAGATACTTAAAGCCTTTTTTAAAAGAAAACTATAGTATATTAGTAGATTAATAATATAAAATATATTTTATTACTAGTTATATACGAACTAGAAGTAAATCTAATTATTAAAAAGCTACTTAATTACTCTTATACTTCTTTATATTTAATAAAAGCTATAATTAGCTACTTCTTATATACTTAGTAAAACTATTAAAAATATATATCTAGAAGCTAATCTACTAGCTGTACAACAAATAAAAATCCATATTATAGTAAATATAATATAACTCTTCTTCACTAGGGTTATAAACTTAGAATTTATTATAATTTAAACAACTCTATATTTATCTATCTTAAGTAATATCTATTAAATAATCTATATAAGTTAAGTACA